ATAATATTATTATGAAAAAAAATCATTTGATAAACAGTTTAAATAATAAAGTAAACTTGAAACGATTATTTCTAAGATGAACTATACAGTGTACATTCTGTGAAAGTCTTAATATAAAATATATTAATAAAAATATAGATATAAATATTTTACTTRTTGGGAAAAACTTCAATGAGAATCATCCAGGGAATGCAYGAAATCCCACAAGAGCCAAAAAAGTAAATGCTGCACAGAAATATCAAAGAAATCAAAGGAGACGATGAAAAATATTCTGCCTTTATTAAAATAATATATGCGCCCAGCGATAACAATAAAACAGTGTTTATCGATAACGTCAACATGGTCAATAATCTTTTCCCGGTTCGATGAACAGTTGCAGTCGCTATGACACATCCGAAACTTGTCAAGCCTGACAGGATGACCTAAAATTATAATGAAATATTGTCAATTACAGTGTAATATAGTTAATATCAGCATTACGTAAACGACGGTTTAATAAATTCATACCAACGATTCGTTTTGGTTATCGGATAAATCAATTTCTTTCATTATTTTGGTGAYAAATGGTCTGGTCGGGAAAATGCTGACAACGAAAGATATGAAGAAAATAATCATCATCAATTTCAATGGTCTATAGACCGCTGGGTTTTTGAACTGGTCTAAATTCGAAAAAAACTTCTTATCGTTGATATCGATTTTTCCTCCTTGTGTTCCAGATACTTGGTTGTAATGAACCAGTTCGAGAAATTCTGGTTTAATTTGTTCAGGTTCAACCCATCCTCTTAACCAACACATAGCCTTTTTGGCCTTTTCGTTTCGACCTTTGGCAATCAACCAAATGGGTGACTCTGGGATCTAGATATGACAACAACATAAAAAAAAAACATAAAATTATGCATTACTCGGCATATTTTATACAATATTCATTTGACAAAACCGATGAATATCATGATTAATAATAATAAATAAAATTGCGAAATTACGTACGAAAAGGACGAAAMATATGCATATGATGGGGCAGAACGAGCTGTACAGTGCCATGGCCCTCCAATCGAAAAACAATCCCAAAATGTACATCACTAACGTTCCTATTCTCATTGCCGTGCTTCCCAGCGAACCCAGAGATCCTCTTAGCCTAGGTTCCGATATCTCCCCGACGTAAGACGAGGTGGATCCGGCCCCGAATCCCGTGCTGAATCCCATCAATAAGGTCGACACGTACAGTAGCACCGACGAGTTTGCGAAGTACAAAAAGGCCCATCCCAAGATACTGGGAATGTTTGCGATTATCATGCAGTGTTTCTTTCCGAACTTATCTTGCAAAATTCCTGACACTAAACATCCTACCGGGTG